TCTCTAGACAAACTTTTCAGGATAGATTTCATAACAAATTGAATCACTGCAGATTATCTAGCTCTTAGGACAGTGATAGTAGGCTTTTAACAATTTTTTTGAATGAAAGTGTATTTTGAATTCTCCAGTTCGAAGCCTCTAATGTTTTTGAAAATCTAGTTTGCTTTTCAGAAGACAAGTATTTGTAACTCCTATATCATTGTCTATCCCTGACATACTTTAGCATTTCCTATAAACATTTCTTAAATTGAAATTATCAGTGAATTTGTTGAACTTTTTAGTTAGATATTAAACTTTTTAAAGGTTAAAACTGTAATTTTTAAGTTTGAAGTTAGTTTTGTTTAGGTTGTATCTTTTTTTAAAACAGATTTGTATTTGTTTCCTAGTAGAAATTTCGAAGTTTGAAAAAGTCTATACAGAACTTGTGTCCCTCGGGGAAGAAGTTGCCAGTTTATCTCGCACTCTTTTCACCTTGTGAGTTTCTGCTATAGCATTGGCTCTTGTTCAGCCAACGTAGGAACTTGGTATGGGATCTTTTGGTCTTCATATAGTACTGCTTGATTTCTATGAAAAGTGTTCATTTATTTATTCATTGAATAATTCTTCATTTATGTAGCCCTCAATTCACATCAGGCATTATTCTATAGGTCAGATGATGAACATGCAGCTTCTGTATTAGTTTAAGTCAAATCAGAAGAAAGAACCTACTTGGTAATTCAAAATGGAACATTTAATTTAAATAATTTTAAATTATAGCATGGGGTGCTTAATTTTAATTGAGCAAAGGGATAGGCTAGTAAAGAATGAAAGGGAGCCTAAAAGAATATTGGGAGTGCAGTTATAAAGCAGCTGTTAGCTTTATAGGTATAGTATGTATAAAGCAGCTACTTGCTTTAGGGGTGAAAGGACTCAAAAAAGAACCCCCATCCACTCTCAAGGTTGAGATCTAGACCCTGGTGGACAAGGCTTAGCTATGACTTATTGGATAGCGGAGATGTTTCTTTGATACAGTACTGTCAGAATTTGTTGAAATCAGTCCTTTGAGTTGCTGAGGAAAACTACTCACAAGAAGAGGTACAAGAGAACTACTTGTCCCCTGCCATTGTGTGAAATTGCAACAACACAGTACCATCTAGGGTGCTGCCTAGGGTGAATGAGCCCTCATCAGGCAGGCAGTCTGCCTGGATCCAGAGCTTGGATTCCCTGACCTCCAGAACTGTGATGAATAAATTTCTATTATTCATAAGTTACCTAGTCTGAAGTATTTTATTATAGCAGCCTGAATGGACCAACATTCAGAATAAAGGAAGAAAATGATATGTAAAATACCAATTTATTAAAAAGACATTAAAATTTTTAAAAATGTTCAACTTTGTAAATCACCAAACTGTCTTCCCAAATGGCTGTACCATTTTGCATTTCCACCAGAAATGAATGAAAATTACTGTTGCTCCACATCTTCACCAGGCTATGATGATGTCAGTGGACTGGGTTTTGGCCATGGTGAGAGGTGTATAATGATATCTCAATATTGTTTTAATTTGTATTTTCCTGATATGATGTTAACATTTTCATATGTTTAATTGTCAACTCTATATAATTTGATGAGGTGTTTAAGACCTTCAATCTATTTTTAATTGTGTTATTTTCTTATTGCTGAATTTTAAGAGTTCTTTGTATATTTGGAACAGTAACAGTTTATCAGTATGTCTTTTGGAAGTATTTTCTTCCAGTCTGCACCTTCTCATTTTGATACATTGATAGAGCAAAAATTTTAAATTTTAATGAAGTCTAGCTTATGAATTTTTAATTTATAGATTATGTGTTTGGCATCATATTTAAATTGTCAAGCCCTAGATCATATACATTTTCTTTTATGTTATCTCCTTGAAATTTTATAATTTTGCATTTTAAACTTAGGTCCATGATGTATTTTGAGTAAATTTTTATTAATGGTATAAGGTTTCTATCTAAATTCCTTTTTGGGCTGCAGATATGAATCGATTGTTTCAATACCATTTGTTGAAAAAATATTTCTCTATTATTTTTACTTCTTTGTCATTGTTGAATTTTTTTATTTGATCCTATTTCTGGGGTCTCTCTTCTTTTCCATTGATTGGTTTGTTATTTTTCACCTTCACACAGTTTTTTCAATTATAAATTTTTTTACTAAATGTTTTCAGCATGTAGTGATTGCGTTCCTTATAGGGAGTTGGTACATATATATATATAAGACATCTTAATTCTGGCTTCATCTCTTTCTCTTCCCTCCCTCCCTCCATCTCTTGGTCCTCTTTCCCTTTGGAAAAGGTTTGTCTCCCTATTTCCTAATATCTTTTATTTTGCTCTTTATTTATATTTTTGGTTTCTCATATAAGTAGTATTAGTAGTAGTAGTAGTAGTAGTCAGTGGATATTATTGAGAGTCTCGTGATCATGGGGAGTATAAGACTATAAATCTTTGTATATTGAAAGTTTAAAATGGTGGTTATACTTTGTATATAAAGTATACAAATACATCTTGTATCCCAAGTGTATATCCTGGCTTTTCTGCTCACAAGATACATGATTATGGTCAATAGGTTTAACCTTGCCTCTGTGTCTTGAGTGTAAAATGGGAATAATGATGATAGGATAGACTTCATAAGATTGTTGTGAGGATCAGTCTTGGAACTTGAAATCCTCATGACTGCCTGGCACATGGTAAGCATTATATAAATATTTTCTGTTATTAATATTAGCAGTTAGTAGTGGTTTTTGTTAGAATTGGTGGCCTGGGATTGAAAGTTCCAAGTCCCGTCATTATGTGACTAAGCTGACAATTGCTGACCTCAATTGTTAAGTTTCTCCAATGTAAGAGCTGACAGGACCCAGTTACTGAATCTTTGCATGGTTCCCATTTATTATCATTTGTTTTCTTCTCATAGACTTTGATTAGCAGGGATAGCCCTTACCAGATGCTGGCCATTACAGAAATTTTGTAACTCAGAAACCATTCTCTAAGAAGCCAATTAAATTTATCAGATAATATTGCTTCTTGTTAGCAATGAGTGACTTCATTTAAGGATGACCATTAAGTGAGTAGGGGAAGTATCTACATGGCAGAGTGCTTTGGAATTTAAGTGTGCTCAGGGAAATCACTCTCTTTATAACATCTCATTTTGAGAATATATTTCCCTCTTGCTTCACTGTTGTTATTTTCTCAATAATAAGGAACATGCCCCCCCCCCTTTTTAAAAAAGGCTTTAAACAAGTTATTTAAAGAGTTATATGTGTACAGATAGAAAAATTGAATATTTGCCTTTCAAAGCTATGTAAGCTTTCTTAGCCCATCAGGTTACACTTCAGGGATGGAAAGAGTTAATACAGTTTTAAAGATGCCTAATTTACAACCAGGGGTACCTGAAAGCTCTTAAAGACGTTGACACAGTGAGTTAGATCAACCCCACTTTCATTTCCCTCTAGTTCAACTTAGTAGCATAAATAAATCCACGGTTTATAATTGTTAAATAGAAGTATTTGAATGCCTCCTAGTGGCATATTGTATACGCTAAAGAATTTTTAAATAGTATTTGTTGAAAGACTACTATGATAAACTAATGAAGCTCAAAAATGTGAAGTACTAAAAGCCATTAATAATAGTATTGCACATGGAATCAAGATAAATTGTTTTCCATATGAAATTGGTCAAAAATCTCACTGGAAAAAATAAAATGTGTGTTATAAAGATGAATATATTTACAAAAAATATGTTTTTGTTTCAGATCAAATTTTTTTTTCATTTAATGGACCTGTTTTGCATTTAAACATAGACAAGTGTTGCTGTTAATAAGCTTTGGATTGCTTTGTGTACATTTATTCTTTGGAATTAAATTAATTGTTATTATCGTGTGTGTTTCAGTATCTTTGTATAATCATGTATAATCATGGAGATGATCTTTAGAAAGTCTAGCTCATTTTTAGGTAGTTTTAAAAAATTCTGATTTTTCAAGTTGAATAAAAAATTATTTAATTGGCAACCATGAAATACAGGCAAGAGCAAAACCTTAAAATGATGAAAATGAATGTTGATTTAGTTACTACTTTAAATGGTAAAAACCTACTTTCCATGTATTGAAATGTAAGTTAAAAGAGAAAGGCACATGAAAAGAGTTCTGATGAGGGTCAGTAGGAGGGAAAAAAAGTGATATCCCTTTGTTAAGCATTAAAAATGTTTAATTAACTGCTTGCCAAAACAAAACAATTAAGATGGCAATTACCTTTAAAGTAGCAACAATGTAATTGCAGCTGTTGTGAGATAAAGCTAGGAAACAAAATGTTAATCTGGAATGAGCAGTTTAAATATGAAATTATGATATACTTGGCTTCCTGTAGTACAGCTGTCAAGCTTGGGCAGTTTGCTGGTCAATAGTGACATTCTCCGTGTCAGTGAGCAGAGTCTCTCGGTACCATAACCCATGGTTCACACATTACTGAAGCTCCAACTGTCGACCATTCAAGTCCCCTGGTATCATTGCAGCTTCCAGACTCTCCTGACTGGCTCATGTTTCATTCTTTGGCAATTTGCCCTAATGATATCCCTCAGGAGCTTTCAGCCGCTCTTCCTTTCCATATTTAATCGTGTTGTATTAATCTGTGTGACGCACAAACTGTACTGCACAAATTGTAATTTCCTACGATATTTTCTAAGATGCTCACCGAATTTTTCAGTTTTACTTTTATTTATGTTCTGAGTTTCAACCCCGAACTATACTTTCAGGTGGTCATAACTATCTACATATGATTCCCAAGAAACTACTTTTCCTGTTTATGTATTTTCAGAGGGGCCTGTGAGACATAAGACAAGTAGAATTTGATAAAGTAGAATTGATAAAGACAGTGTGAGCTATGTCATTGTGTAAATTGTTTTGTGATTATCATTCATCTTTGCTACCTTGAACATGCCTTTTTGTTTGGAGGGTCAGCAGCTACTTATTATTGTTGTCCTTTTACAAATTCTAGTTAACCGCCTGTCTCCATGGATCGGCTGCTCTGCTCTATCCAATGTACTGGCAACACATATACATCCCAGTGCTTCCTCCGCACCTGCTGGACTATTGCTGGTAAGCTGGGTTTGCCAGGCTTTTTTAATAAATCTGGGTTTCATAATTAGGAAAAAGATCCATTTATTTGTAGATATGGAAGAAATCACAGAAACTTTACCTTTAGATTAGTAGTAAGTATTGAAGAATGCTTTCATGAGTGTCAGAGTAGCAAAAATTTATACTTGGTAAACATAAAACTCCTCAAATTTTGTATTTCATCTGCAGCCATTTAGATAACTAAATGCATAGATGGAAAAATAGAACTTTAGTTTTTGGATAATAAAATTGAACAGAAGTTGTGGTATCTTGGAAGTTGTGGTATATTAGAAAATCCAATATCCCAGATGTCAGAATTTGTCTGGCAAATCTGCCAATAACCACATTGTGTCTGTCAAGGCACACTTTTGTTACTTTTATTTACCTTAAGACTCAGGTTCCTTTACTTGTTCTGTAGCATACTGAATACCAAGTACTGACAAAAGGATCACTTCTAATACAGGAATTCTCAACTTTCTAATTTAAGTCAAAATTTCAGCCTAACTCCACTATGAAAAGCAGTGTTGAAAAGTTTTGAGAGTAATGCTGAAGAGTTCATTGGCATTAGAAAGAGCTCTCAATGCTCTTACCAAATGAATTCAGTCAGGCCTCTCTCTGGACATTATGATGGCAATGACCAGTGGTCCTTATTCTCTTCCCATGGAAAAGTCTTTGAACTTACAGTGAGGCTGGGCAAGGATTAGACTCTTAACATATAGCAGCTTTGGCAGTTTCCTTAGGACTAATGGATACAATGTCGTCTTCATTGCACAGTCATCTTTTGCAGGCATAGCTTAATCTGTAATGAATTTGATGAGATCTTTTACCCTCTAAACCATGTGTGAAGGGCATCATTTTGACCTTACTGTATTTTCTTCTATAATGGCTAATTTTAGTAAAAAAACAAAGCTCTTATTTAACTTTTTATTTCATGAAAAACAGATTAAGGTATTAAAGTGATGTAAGTGTACACATACAGGACTTTTATTAGGTCGGAACAAGTGACTGTAATGACAGGACACGTACTTGGCCACATATTGATTACTCTGCTATTTTGTATGCTTCCACAGTATTGATAATGCTGTGAAATAGGTGTGCAGTGACCTGCCACTGCTTTCTTGCCCTTGGAGAACTAGAAAGGAAAAACAGTTTGTCGGACTATAGGAATGTGATTTAATTATATTGTGAGGTGTCACACACGAGTTTAAGTGTAAAGCTAGATCTGTAAATAGGCTTTTTTGATTTTCACTGTGGAGTTTTCCTTTGACCAACATGTCTACAATATTTTACTGTACTTGAAGGCAGAGGCTGCACTTTGTTCATGTTGACATATGCAATAGATCTTTACGTGTAGTGTTTAGTAATTAAAGTTTATTTTAAAATTTTTTACAAAACTATTTGAAAATATATTATATACTGTTTAAAATATATGTCATTTGTGTTTCAAGAGCTAAAATTTCTAATTATGAGGTTTAGAATTACATTGTATCCTGTTATAATGGTAGTACCATCTTAATTTTTCTATAAAATATTCTCATCTCTTAAGTGAAACGCCTTTCAGCTCATTTCTCTGTAATGCACATTTAGGATGTTCTCAAATGTTACTTAGAAGCTATTCAGTGATCTGTGCTAATTCTTTCTAAAAGTGTCTTTGTGACACTTTCTATCTCTGTCATCAAACCCTTCTTTTCTGCCATTTCTCTTATAAGGAAAGAAGTTTCTTCTGTGTTTCAGTTCCTGGAACCTTCTTTCCTGTTCCGAAATATTTTAAATTAAATATTGTCCAAAATAGCCTTTTAGACAAGTTCCACAGCCTCCCTGTGAGGCATCTCTCTGAGCCAGAGTGTAGAGCAGTGACGCCTAAACAAGAGACTCTGAAACTTCTTGTACTTAGGGTTACAATAAGCTCAGTTTCCTTCATAGGAACTAGACAGTAGAGCTTAGTTTTTTAAAAGAAGTAGTTAAGACTGTAGCTTTCTTCCCTTCCACTGTTAGAAAATTTGATGAGCTAAACAATTTTCTAGAAGAAATGATTCTCTTCCCTTGGTGTCCTTGAGGTTAGAATGATATGAGTATAGTTCTCTCTGTTCTACAGTGAGAAAAATCTTACAGATTTTCTCCTTAATCTCATGTGTTTGAATAAATAATATTTTATATTCTAATTCAAAATAGTACCACAAAGGCTTGTAAGGAGTAGATGTAGTTTTATTAACTTCTTGGAATGATTGGAACGTTCCAAATTTGAGATAATCCTAGTTAGCGTATTTCTGTTTTTGCACCTGGTAGCTTTGGTGTGGTGTAGACTGTGGAGAGCCATAATGCCATCTTGTGACCATGGATGAACATCGCATCTTGGGCCATGGATAAGCCTTTCTATTTTGTTGCTCCCTCTGTCCGTCCATCCATCCATCAGTCCGTCTGTCCATCCATCCATCCATCCATCCATCCATCCATCCATTTGTTCATTAACACTTAGTGAATACCTATTTGCCAACCTGTGAAGATGTGATGCAATGGTTAAGACTTCTTACCCCTGGGAGATTCACGTATAGGAAGAAACACATACATAACGATACGTATACATGCTTATATGGTACCTACACATGTACAGTAGCACAGAGTAGTTCTGCAGTACTGTAAGCACTATAGCAACAATGAAAGAACTGTGAATGGAAAGATAAGAAGAAGTGGCTCACAGTCCATGGCAGGTTAGGAAAAGCTCTGGGGAAGAAGTAACATCAATTGCATTTTCCTTTAATGAATATAATAAGAGTATGTAATTTGGCAAGTCTACAATATTGCCAGGTACTGTTGAGCTGTCTAAATCTGTAAACACATAGGAGCTGATGTGACTGCAGGATCAGTAAAATTATAATAGATTATTATTTGTTTAGGGATAGTTACATCAGTCTTTTATTTAGTGTTTATAGTGACTTGTCTTTCAATGAAACAATCAGATTTAGGTTCTAAGAGCAGGTTTTAGAAAAACAAATGGAAAATTGTGATCTCAGATTGCTCTAATAGATTGTCCTTACAGTCTGTGTCACAGGCGTCTCTTTGTAAGAAAAAAAGAAAAGCTTTCTTGAGTAAATATTAATTGCCACCAAAAGGAAGAAGCAGTCGTAACAGAGCCTTCTGTATCCCATCTTTTGAAAATAACTACTGATGGAAAGATCTAGGACAGTTTTGTACATGGGTTATAAAATATCTGTGTTGCTAAGGGTCTCTTCTGGATTTATTAACACTGTAATCTAATTAGGGAATTTCAGCTGGGGTTGCAAAATTAGTTTTCATGAGATTTGGCTTATTGTATGATAGGGTATACACAATTCAGTGAGAAAAAATGAGAGACACCTATACAATTAACTCTGTAGTTTGTAAAATATCATGATTATTTTAGAAAATTATGCTGTAGATTAATAATATTTTGTAGTTCAAACATTTATATGTTGGATTTTGCAAGACATCTGTGAGGAAAAACCACGTGGAAATTCCCAGTGATTCCATAAAAAAAAATTTCCAGTTTATTATTAAAGTCTGCATGGGAGCTTTATCTTGAATTTTAAATTCTAGTTTAAGAATTTCTGTCAACTCATTGTTTACATTTCAAAAGATAAGTTTTCATAAACTTAAAGGATGTTTTTGTTGGTGTATTTCCTAGGATTTTAGTAGATTAGTTAGCAGTTTTGGCTATCATTTTATGAAATTTTGATCTACAACGTCCCTCTAACATCTTTAAAATGGACATAATAATTATTATTTTTAGAAGTTTGATATATTTTAATGAATACTCTTCTATGAAAATGTGCTTTGGAATTTTAGATACTATGGACTCTCTGTCTTATAAATCTTGTGGGTAGAATATCCTAACCAAGAGTGGAAGTTTCCACAATAACTTGAATAATTTTATACTATTTTGGATGTTTGGATGGCTTGACATATTTAAGACTCTGGGAGTTGCCTAACTTGTTTTGTGAAAATTTCCCAAACTTGGCAATGAGAGACTAGAATACTGATAGGCATTTTATGTCTTCTCTGGAGTCCCAGAAGGAATCCCAAGATGAGACCTTGAACTAGGAAAGTAACCAGCCTTTCCTTACTTTAGCAAAAGTGGAACAGCCCACATTTTTCACTCCTGTTTCCTTTAGAAGGCAGAAAATCTGTTAGGTCTTAAGGATATCAAGGCCTATAAATAAACCTCAACTTTTAGTCAAATGAAGTATCCAGAATATCAGATCAATTCCAGATGGTCTGTTGCATAAAAATTAAAGAATAGGAAAGAGCAGAGCTACTAAAGGCAAAGATAACTGAGGATTAAAATTTAGTACAATAATAAGTAATAAACTAGAATGTACAGGGTAATCAACATTTCTATTTGGATATATAGGTTACTGTTTACCCATCCTTGAATAAATTTGAAACTCTTTGAGGTTGCTTTGAAATCTGTAGAATGTTCAAGATGCCTGTTAGTTTTATCTGTTAGTGATTCTCAGTAACAAAGTGAACTTACCGGAATTTGGCAGCTCTGTTTTAACAATGATAATGATGTTTAGAAAATTATGCTAATCTTTTGAAAAAGAGGATTATCTCTTTGGATTAATAGAAAAGGTTTGCATTAGTAAACAAAGATGTCTATAAAAGAATTAACCAAAACATTTAATTTTAAATAGTTAATTGTTCACATATCTTCTGTCACCTTTTTAAGACATCTCTCCATTCTCGTGGTTGAATAATTTCCTAGCAGATATTCCTAAAATTACTAGTAATTCAGATTTAACGTAAATTACTTAATGTATATATTCTGTGCTAAAATATAAGACCCACAAGGAGGTATATCCCATCTGTATTGCTAATTATTCTTCCCAAACCCTGTCTCAAGGCCTGGCATGCATATGTTCTAAATATCATGTTTTGAATTAATTCAAATAATTCTCACACAAATATTTTAAATTTATTATATTTTTACTAATATCATTGAAAGTGGAATAAATCTAAATTTTATATTAGAATTTTATATTTATATCTGAATCTATATTTTATAAATATAAATAAAGGATAATGTATGTATGCAAGGGCAAAGATCGCACAGTAATAGAGGAACTTTTGTATTTCTGTACTTGTAGTTCCACAACAGTACCTTGTATACAGTAATGACTATTTGGTGACTAGCTCAATAAGTGTTTGGTGATATAGTAGGTATAAATTTATAAAGTTTATTAAGAAAATCGTTAAAATAAGAGTCTAATTAAGCAAAGATGTACAAAAGAAATGCAATAAATTTGGTGATTATTTAGGATATACTTGCTACAAAGTATATGAAAAAGATTTAACTCAGACTGTGGCCTAGACCCTACTACTTTTATTAGATAAAAAAATATTTTTTAGGGATTATAACTCTTGATTTCATTATAAATCACTTTGTGATTTTTCTGTATAAACTAATTTTAAGTATAGTAATGGCCTCTAGGATTAAATTTGAATATATTTAAATATCTATAATTTTGAATATTTATTATGTGCTATGTTGGAACTGAACCTTTAATAAATTTAATTTTTAAGTATTTAAGCTACTTATACTATTGTTTCACTTTTAATGAACTATATGAATCTGTAAATATTTATTTATATTTTGATTTAGTGCCCCAATGCCATACCTGATTGGAATACACTCCAGCCTCTTAGAGGTGAGTATTTTTCAAACATGAGATAGTGATAAAATTAATTCATTGAAGATAATGCTTAAAACAGTTTTGTTTGAAGACTATCAATTCCATAATAAACAGTGGCAAATTTCATATTTAGGATATACTTAGTCATTTTCAAAAGGTAAATTTTAAATAATTTAATTTAAATTAGTATACCAATGATCATTTTTAATAGCAAGAAGCCCATGAAAATAGATTATGTTTGGTAGAAATTATATGGTAAGTATTAACTCTAAAAATTTTAATCCTTGATGAACCGCTTTTTTTTACGGCAACTTGAAATTTCTTATTTCTCTTTTTCAGTACTATTTATAAAAATCAGAGCTTACATACTTATTATTCACAAAATGGAACATTTTTATTTTGTAGATTTCATTATTTTCCATATTCAGTATGCTTTTTTTAAAATTTTTGGTACCGGGGATCGAACTCGGGTCATTGTGCCACCACTGAGCTAAACCCTCGGCCCCCAGTGTGCTTTTTAAAAGCATGATTTTACCCCACTTTTTAATTAGAATATAGCTTTTTTGTTTTAATTTTTAATTTTCAGTCCTATTGGAGAATGTAAAATTTAGTAATCTTTTCCATTTCTATCACATGGTTCTAAAATAATTTTTGTCAGAGTTACATTTTGCTGAAAATCCTTGAACTTTAAACACCTTGAACTTGAAATCAGTGAGACTTCCAGAGAGGTCGTCTTGTAAGATTAACTTCTAAAGAGTAAACAAAAGACTTGTATTAAAACAGAAGATATGGATCAATTGAGTGACATCATTATGCTGGCTGGTTTCATTTTACTCATATACATTTGTCTTTTTGTGGATTGTGCAGATAAACAATTTAACCTAATTTTTAATAAGTAGGTTCTGAGGCAGGGTGGTTTTCTTATTAGTTTCTGACATTGTATACATCATTGATCCTTACTTTATTTATGTATTGGTATATTGATATATTTTAAAACCCCTTAGGATAATATTTTGAGTCATGTCCCTACGGAAGACTTAGGTTATGGAATTCTACCGTTGCTGTAATTTCAGATATTTTTTCTTTTTGCAAAATGCTAGGGCAATATTTTTGTTTTGTCATTAATATAAAATATATTTTAATGACTTTTTAAGTGATTTTGCTTTATTTTTAATATTGAAGTCTATGTTGAATAACTTCAGGACTCCTTATATTTTATTCCTTTTTAAGGAAACTTATTTTTTATAAGCTAAGGTATTTATAGTGAAAGCACAAAGTATATGAAATGAGTTATGAACAAATAGGTATTTGATATATTATTAGATCACGGAATACATATATCACTGTCATTTTATTGATTAGTTGTTGGACTTTATACAAATTTAAAATATGTATGGTTGAAATTTTTTTTTAAAGTCATTAAATTTGACTTTTATATTACTGTAGTATATAGCTATATCTACTGTGGTAGGATACATATTTTTACAATGTATTTATGGAAGTGGAAAATACTTAAAACTTTTGGTAGTACCTCTTAGTGTTATAATGTGTGTATGTGTGTGTGTACATGTGTGTAACGATTTTACACCAACTTTTAAAAGAAATAATTTGGCTTTTCTATGAAACATTTTTTTGGTACTGGGGATCGAACTCAGGATCTTGTGCTTGCGAGGCAGGTGGTGGCACCACTGAGCTAAAATCCCTGGCCCCAAAGCTCTTTGAAACTTTTTTTTTTTGGCTTTTCTAAACTTCTATAGAAAAGGATAGAATATTTTAAGTATTCAATTACATTTATCACATATTTATTGGCTACTTATAAAGAAATCCAGTACTACTTTTTTAAGGAGCAAATTTAGGAATTATTTACTTTTTGAAAGTACTGTCTTAGAGAAACTTTAAATTGTCTCTTGTTATTGAATATGAATATTTGAAGACATAACAGCTTGGCTGAAACACTGTACTTTTTATAACCGAGACTTATCCAAATATCTTAGTAGGTTATTGATTTATCTGTTTTAATAGTGAATGAGATGCTATACTTGGCACTTTAGGGATTTCTTTAAACCAACTGGGTATCATTTAGTAATTTTTTTCTTAATCTGTTACAAGATGATAAATATCTTGAAGTTCTGTTTTTATTACTAGACAGGTTTTTTGAACTGAAATCTCTATCTTTTGTGCTTTTAACTTTTATAATATCTTACTAAAATATGGATGTAACTACTTAATGTATCGAGTAGAGATCAGTAATTTATTTATATTGTTTGCCAGTTTATAGCTATTTTTTTCTAGGAAGAATAAAAATATTTTATTCTCTCTCATGGCTCAGAAAATTTAAACACCAGTTTTTGCTTTTGTTTTTTTGTTTTTGGGTATTTTTTTGGTACCAGGGATCGAACTCAGGACCTTGCGCTTGCGAGGCAGGCATGGTGCCACTGAGCAAAGCCCCTGGCCCTCAACATCAGTTTTTAAAAACTTACGTTTTATTGTCATTAAAACTTTTTAATACTCTTATGTTATTGATACGTAATGACTATGTTCATCAAGGGGAACTGGTAGATATACAGATAGCATTTTGATCCTTTTTACTTCCCAGTTCTCTGTCCTCCCTCTCGTATCTCCCATTATCAGTTTTATAAACTACCAAGCCTAGTTGTTCCAGTCTTCTTTGAAATCTTCCTTTCCTTTACTTTCATTGAATTGTGAATTATGGATGATGAGAAATTTCTTTTTAAAATATAAATTTGCTTTCAAAATAAAGAAAGAGGACATTTGGTTCTCTGAAAAACCTTCTTTAGGGATGAACTCAAGACCAAGGCATATAGGTGATTAAAAATAAATTAGTAGAAGCTACAAATAGGAGGTTTGTGTTTTTTGTTTTAATATACAAAGGATTCTAAATTAAATGTTGTCTCAGAGTTTTAAGTTCACATGATTGCTGCCACTGTATCATTTCTTTGCATCAGTAAGCTTGTGTTCATACCGAGATTATGTGGAAGGTTGAATATAGAGGGAAAGGAGTTACTGACTCTAACATCTTATTGTTGTTCTTAGTAAGCCTTTCAGTCTATGTACAATGATATTTTCTTATTTTTGAAGAAAAAACTTTTTTCATATTCTCTCACATTAATTTTACATCTCCTAACAAGATATAAACAACTGGGATACAGAACTATGAGACAGGGAAAGGGGGTGCCATTTGTGACTTTCCATCTATATTTTGAAAAAAATAGCTAAAGCTTAATTTTGAAAGAAAAATAGATAAAATACTGATATTAAGTTTTCTTTTCAAAATATTTAAATTATATACTATTTTTCCTTTTTTTTTTTTTTTTTTGCATATGTAGCTCTAACATCAGGGGACTCCCAGTCTAGTGAATAGAAGTGAATATGTTTTTCTTTTCTTTTTGAGTGATGCCTTAAACAAAATTTAATATTCAGCTAATGTCTAATTTTGTAAAACTAGAAGCAATTTTGAAAAAAATACATTTCATATTAATACCAATTTATTTAGACTTTAATGCTAGTATTATCACTAAAAACCTTGTGTGCACATAGCTATTATTCCTGGCTATTTAGATAAATTCATATGTTCCCTCAAAAACATGTCAAGCTTCCAGATTATTTTTATAGTTTATTATGTAAAAGCAACTTAAATATGAAGATATTGTAGTTATGACATACTTATCCCATAAAATGCCATTAGTGTAGGTAAATTTTGCTTATAAAATACATTATTCTTGTAGTTATATTGGTTAATTTATATATAAGCTCAGGGTTCTATACTTATACCTTTTAACATATGTATATACATAGAAAGTCAGTGAATATATTTACCAGTTTTTGCAGTACTATTAATAGTATCACTAGCAATGATTTTCTTCTAATGTCTTAGAAGTAGCCATCTTTTAAATCCTACTTTATAATAATTACAATGTTTTCTGTAAGATAGATTTTTAGAATCATGTGTATTCCTGACTATCCTCATGGTACATAATTATTTCTTAAAACATAGAAATTCCCTTTCTTAGATTATCATTTCCCTAGAAAATTTAACATTCTTCCAAATATAAAGAAATCTGTTGTGAATGGATCAGATAATTTTTAATTAATATAAAATAATTACATGAGTCACTTTAAGATTTAAAATATTTAAGTAGTAATATTTAAGAATAACTTCTTCTAGAAAGACACTTTAAAAAATATCACATTAAAACTAGTTATTGACCTATTACTTGCTGACCAGTACAATTATAGATTTCTAAATCCATGGATATGATCGATTAGGAGAACATTGCTTATCACTGAGGAATAATACTATTTCCTATATTTTAAATGAGATTAAAATAATTCAGTAATTTAATTATATGCTAATTTAAGTAGGACAAATGAATCATAAATGTTTCCTTTATTTAAAAATATAAAATTCTAATTTGTGGACATAGTGAGATTCTTTGATTGTTTTGACTATGTTTTCAAATAAGTTAAGACTGTCAATCTGATAAGACTATCAAATTTAATTATTAACATTGAAATTTGTGGAAGAATATTACTACTAATAAATTCCATATTACTACCTTCTCTGTTCTTTCCTCTTATTCCACTTTCCATCCTCCTCTTCATTTATTCATTTAAAATATACTTTAATACTTTAGTCATGGTTATTGGATTATGTTGCCCCTGTACTATGATTTATGCTAAAAATAGGTATAGAGCTGGGCATAAATTCCTGTATCATAGGATTGGTATTAAACTGATAAATTTGAAAGGCTCCAATTTTTTACACTTTGGTGCAGTAGTGCCTGTTTTATTGTAAGTCTTGGTTCTGCTTTCTCTTTGGTAGTTAAATTAATTCAGTATTAGATTAACAAATATTCTATTTTTAACAGTTTTGTCAAATCTTTTGAATGGATTATAATCAAGGTAAAACTTTATGTTTTTATAATGTCAGATTTTCCTGTTTTTATTTTCACAAACTTTGTTCATTCACATAATTTTTGTGTGTTTCCAAGCTCTTAGTTTTCCGAGGAAAATAAATTTATGAATAATAATAATTTTTTATAATTGTGTTTTTTAAACAGAGAGTGAAAAATAAATCATTGGAAGATGTGGTTATGTTAAATGTTGATACAAACACTTTAGAATCACCATTTAATGACTTGAGCAACCTACCAATTGATGTGGTAAGTCTGAAGGCTTTTTGGCAAGCATATATATTTTCTCACAGACCTTTCAGTTACTAACAGTTATTTTTCCTACTTTTATTTAAAATAAAAGGGTTGTGTATGTGCGAGAGGTGTGAGAGGAATCAGTATAGGTTCTATTTTTAATATTTTTGCCTTTTGGCAATGGAGGAGATGTTGAATGGAACATCATATTCCTTATTGTAAAAGTAGGATCATAATTAAAAAGCTAGATGCATTCATTAGGCAGAGTTTCTTTAAACGTAAGTCTCTTCATCTCATCTTAATCATTATATTACAAAGTAGGCATTTCTGTCTGCCTGGTGGCATGTCTTGCAAAAGAATGAGAGAGTTTTTGAAGGCAAGGAGAAGAAGGGGGCCAATTATCGGCTTTTGCTTCCCTGCCACCTGCCAGCGCTTTTCCTTTTAATTAATGATCTGATGGCACTGGTCAATATAATAAGAAATGCTTGTACAGTTGGGGTCAGAAAATTCTGGCTTTGATCTCCCTCAACTTTCTGAAACATTTATTTGTTTTCTCTAAATTATTTCAGTTTTATTTTAATCTTTTCTATCCTGCTGAGGGCTGCAAGAATGAAAACCTACACTGTCATTTGCTTTGGCAGAGCAAAGACTGCTTACTTAGAATTCTATTTGTAAATTAAACTGCAAACCCAGTTTGTCATAAAAGACATCTGATCCTTTTGAAATGACGAAAACTCTCTTTTGTCTGTAAAGGCTGATAAATTAAGTGCCAGTTCTCTTCTGGGCTTTGATCTTGCAAAGGGTTTGTGTGTGTGTGCATGCATGCGGATGCATGTGTGTCTCTAGCTCATAATGGGACATATTCTGGATTTCATGTTCCAAAAATACATTTTTTGCCTTAATTTTCTTTGGTATAGGCAAAATTGCAACTAGTTATATTTTTATAAATAGTGTATTTAATGACTACATAAATACATCTATATAACACTTCTCTAAGTTCAAATAACTCTTTAAAAAATAAAGGCATCCATTGCTTAAATAAATATTAAAAGTACCTCTAAATATATTTTTCAGAATATTAAAAGTGCCTTGAAATTCATCATTAAGGAGTTTGAGAAAGTGAATTTAAAAGTCTAAAATTCAGAAACATACAGCAATACTAGCCTTGATTGTTCTTATGGCTAGTGATAAAAATATGATTTCAAAGTAAAAGGTTATTTGTGCCCATAAATACCCTAAATACTTGTTGACCTTGAAGTACATTAAACTGAACTGCTTTATCTTGCTGTAGAAAAATTTATGCTAGGTATGAACAAATCCAAACTCAGGGAAATGAACAATTACTGTATTCTCTTTTTAGCTCATTATAGCTAGATTGCCTCCTCATAAAATTCTGCAGAAACTGCTAGAAATGATTATTCATTTAGAAACCTCTGAAAGTATTCTGGATAGAGAAATAATTATGAAAATAGAATCCCAACTTTTAAGAATGTTTTCTTATGTGTGTTTCCTACTATTAATGCCTTGAGAAAGGATTATTGAAGATTAAAAATAAATAAATAAAAAGAGAAATTCAACTTTTTTTCTGTATGTTGTTAAAAGTTTTATAGTCAGCTTCAAAGAAGGGATTTTTTGATGGGTGATTCTTTTTTAATTGAAAAGTATCGTAAAATTAGTTTGGTAAATAAGACAGTTATTTAAATATGTGAGAGAGTTAAATACTACTCACAAAATATATAAATTTAAATACATAAGATGACAGAAGAGATCATGTAGTTTAGTTGTAAGCAACTGTATAAGCATAGCTGGAATATTTAAAAATTAGGTAAAAAGAAACATTGAAACAGTGTAGATTGATTACATACATACTTGAAATTGAAGACCACAGAGATAGAGACAAATTTCAAAACTGAACAAATCTATCTAGCAGATAGAGCTAGGACCATTTGTTAAAAGTATGAGATATTTTAAAATTATAGTAAGTATTCTAAAAATAGGTGATTATTCAATTCATCTCCAATAAATTTAGCTTTTTCATCAGTTTTCCAAGGCTGTCTCTTATTGTTCTGAAGGAAATATGATGAAGTATCACAGCATGTTTGTAAAATGGCAAATATTTTAAATGAGATGTGTTAAAATCACAAATGACCTTACTGAAGTTTTGTGTGTGATTTGAGTTAATAAAATACACTAGAACCCTGAGAAATATTGCTATTGGTATTGTTTGATTGTTTAATAAGTTAACTGAGATTTAAATGAAGGGCCTTTTAAAATCACCCACTGAAGCATTTAAATTATACTTACAGGCTAGATGACTTTCTATGCATGTGCACTCTATTACTGTGTCCGATTGACCAGTGATCTTGGCTGTTCAGAGGTCATTGGTCACAGTTGTCCTGAATTACCAGTTCTTTTTTCCTGTGGACCCTCTGCTGTGTTGCATGCTGTAATCTTCTTAATGGCTTCATTCCAGTATTCACACATAATATTTTAGATTTATTGACTGTTAGAAATACTACCATGCCAGTAGCAGTTCCGCTACTCTTAAGGTATTTAAAATTGGAAAAATAAATCAGAGCAAAGCTTTCAAGAATCCTTTGTTTTCCTTAAGGGAGGGGAAAAAACTCTCTTCCTGTCTTCTGACAAGAACACTTGTTTTTTGATTTCATCATTTCACTCTAGATTTGTATTACTAAAACAAATAAATATTTTTATTGGGAGTGGTTTTAGTGATACTGACTATTACATGATATAACATTTTAAAAAGTAGATGCATTAAAATATACTTCTGTTTTTGTGTGTAAATATATTTGACTATATTATTAGTGGCTATGTAAAGAGATCTTCAAACATATAGTTTGAATGTTTTGAAATACTAGATTTTAGGGCTAAGTAAATGTCTATCAAATATTGTTTTGGCATGTTTAAAAGGATGGGGAAAAAGAACCACTTGAATTAAATGTAACATTTGAAACCTCAGATGAGTTCATTTTAAAAAATAGATGAAACTTCCCATTCCAAATATACATACAAATTTACTTTTGATTACATAGTAATTTAAAAAGTACTTTTAAGGTATTATCGCTCATTTGAATTTTTATCATCTTTAACATTTTCAAATGTAAATTGGATAAGTGTTAGTATTTAAAAAATAATAAATAGGATAATCCACGTATTGGAAATTAAACTAGTAAGTAGAATTCTGTAACAATATTCAGGAAATCTATTCTCACATGTATGTTAAAGTAAACAGAAACTGCTGCATGAGGAAGCAGCTTAGAATTGACATTAAAAAAATGCTACATTAGTTATAGTATTCATTACAATAGGCAAGTGAATTTTGACCTGCATTGCTTAACTGTCTTTAAATAACTTTAACTCATTAGATTTTTAAAAATAACGTATTCTGAAGTAGGTCCCAATGCTTATCCCTATTTTAGGTAAGAAAATCAAGACACAGAAAATACATTGCTAATAGTATATTTAAAGCATTAGTTCACAGATTAGTTTCAAACCTATACCCCAAACACTAAACATGGTCCCTCTCATATAAATCTTCTATACAATATAATAGCATTTAAAATTTAGTATAGAAACTTATTGGCCATTATCTTATTGAGGAAATACCAGCATGATGTATTTGATTTAAATTATCAGCACTGTGTTTAAAATATTTTCATTTTGTACCTAATAGTATTGGAAAATAATTTTTTATTTTTTTATGAGTATGCATGGGAAATGTAATATATTTAGGAGTACAATTCACTGTAGATCACAGTGTTTAATAAGATAGTAATGTTTGCTTTAAAAATGCTTTAGCATTTTTAAGTACTAAAACAATAGAAAATCTTTATTATAAAATGGCCTTATTGAAAATGCCATGCATGTTTTAGCGAAGCTTTCAAGTATTACATGAAGGAATATGTTATGGTTTCATAGTGATGCGAAGAGACACAAATTACTTGGAATCACCAAAATTATATAAGCCTAGAATTGGAGAAAACCCCTAGACTTTTGACTTTACGTAAGATTTTTGGATACCTACACTCTACTGAGTTCATTAGGAATGCATTTTGAAAAGAATTAAATTAACTTTAAAAACATTAAAGACTATAAACCAAATTCTTACAGCCATGCAAATTGTCAGTAGATATGTTTAGTTCACTGAATATTTCCTCTAATCTAAAATGAAGGTTTACCATGTTAAATGTCATAATATATGTTATAAAGAATAAAAAGGCCCCAGAGAATATTTATATTAGTTCCAGCTTTGCTACAGTCTGCCATAATCCTGTAGTGTCTAATGATAAGTGAAGTCCCTAACAAATTTCTCGGGTGGCCGTGTTAGAAAGCTAATACAGTTTTATCCAGCTTATAGCAAAGTTTGCCATCTGTTTTATTTAGTGTTTAGGACACACTTCAGGAGACAAATCGTGCCTTCAGTTTGTCCCTGGAGAAGTGTAGTCCTGCGCAGATGCTTTCCCTCTGGACTGGTAGCTGTTAGGATTCAGGCTGTGCATTGCCCCCACCGTACAGCCTCATGTGTCAGGTAGTAACCCTACTGTTAGTAGGCATTCAGTAAATGGTTGTTGAAGGGAAATAAGATTGCACTTGTTTTATCTTTTGTAATAGAAATTTGCTTTTAAAATCTCTGTTCACAGTTACCTCCCAGAATATTTTGTAAGGGTATTTTTATTTGACTTTCATAGTAATGCAAAGAAGAAACTTAGAAACATGTTTAAATAAACTTTTTTGATAGATGATGGGAAACAGGGAGGTAGACCTGTTGTGGATGGGAAGGGATCTGGGATACAGGGAGGGGGAACGAAGGGAGGGGCAGGGGCAGTAAAAGGACTAAGATGTAATATGCGTGTGTGCCAGGTCCCCATGATGAATGTATTACGCATCACAAACATGTACTAATTTTTTAAAACTTCCCAATTACAAAAATAAATAAATCAGTAATAGTTCATTTGACTGAGTACAACCTTTTATTTCCTGAGTCTGGAAAAGGA